CTCTCCGGAGAGGTAACCGGCCACGTCATCACACTGTGATATTAAGGCAGGGCTTCCCACTGCGGTGCTTCAGGCTCTCTCCGGAGAGGTAACCGGCCACGTCATCACACTGTGATATTAAGGCAGGGCTTCCCACTGCGGTGCTTCAGGCTCTCTCCGGAGAGGTAACCGGCCACGTCATCACACTGTGATATTAAGGCAGGGCTTCCCACTGCGGTGCTTCAGGCTCTCTCTGGAGAGGTAACCGGCCATGTCATCACACTGTAATATTAAGGAAGGGCTTCCCACTGCGGTGCTTCAGGCTCTCTCCGGAGAGGTAACCGGCCACGTCATCACACTGTGATATTAACCCTCTGGGGTCTAAGGGTAGGGAACATACTTTGACTGGGGCATGGTCACACATTTCTTTCAATATCATAAACTTAATTCATGGCAAATAAATTATTTCTTATATATTTTTTTCAGCGTTACACTCATTTCACCGTTCAACGTTTCACCATTGTGCTGTTTATCAAAGTACCATGTGAATGCGATTTTAATATGCGGTAATGCGGCTATTTAGAATGCGAATAGCAAGAGCGGTACTACACGCCCCCAATGCAGGTAAAACAAAGTAAAGTGACATGGTTTACTTTTTTGCCGATTTAACCTAATTTTAAAAACCTTAATACTTCTGACATTGGAAGTTTTGAAAATAAGATAGATTACGGATTTAGTCAGCTTTTTTTTCCTTCATGATTCTACAAAAAGATTTTAGCGAGATATAAACTGAAATGCACAAGAAATGTACGCGGCATTACGAACGATGCGCTCGTCCCCAGAGGGTTAATAGGTCTAGCTAGAATCTCACAAGATCAGTTTCACATACATTCTAATTTAGTGGAAATTGCTTTTCATTATTCAATACACAGTACAAACAGTAGAATATTTTTAAGTTGCCTCTACCAGACTTTGTATAGAAGCTTCATAATAATAATCGATCCTTTATTGATCCCCGTGGGGAAATTATCTTTACGCCTCCCTCAACTTGCTCTTTGTAGAGTACGCTGTCTGTGAAGGGCAGCCGCCTGTTGGGGCGCCCAGGGAGCTGGGGGTTAAGGGTCTTGCTCAAGGACCTGCAGACATGCTGAGGCTGGGTTTGAACCAGCGACCTTGTGATTACAGGCACACAGGCTTAGCCCACTGAGCCTCATGCTGCCCCATGTAACTGGAATTATGTTCTATAGTAGAAATACTTCAGTATTTTACAGTGTGTAACATTAATCCAATTCCTTTCTAAGCACTGTTTAATAATAATAGTGGAAATGTATTTTCAACCTCTCAAATTAAAGTACTGCTATATACTACCTTGCAAATTTGTCTTTCAGATGGAAGACAGTGATCAGATGGATGAGTCCCTCACAGACTCCTCCAGCTCACACAGGTAGCTTTTGCCGGGCAACAAACCGGACCTACAGACGTTAAACCATGTGGCTTTAGTCAGACCAATAGACTTTGGTCTAACTGCTAGATTAGGCAGAAATGTACTGAAGCTGCTTGACTGGCTTAATCAGCAGATCCTGTCACTCTTTCAGTGAGCCTCAACCAGAAGATTACACAAACCTGTCCACTTCACCTGACTACAAAGTGGTAGGCTCATTCACTGTTTTCTGTATTTCATCATTTCATTTTATATTTTTCTGTCGTTAAGCATAGCAACATTGCATTATCTGTTTTTATTTCAGCAGTTTTGTAAAAAGTGGATGAATATTTGAAATTTGTATTCGAAGAATGCTTAATGTTATGTATACTTTTACTTCCTTGAACATTCATTGGTTAGTTGAGAATAACAGTCCTTCCACATTATATAAATTGTATTAAAATATATTACAGCAATGAGCGCCAAGCAGGTGATCGGCAAGAATTATTAGTAGATTGTGACACCTACCCCCCTCCCCCAAACACACACATTATTTTCTTTGTATAAAATTGGCTCACTCTGTAAAAATGGTTGGACATTGCAATGGTACAGCAAAGCAATAGATATATTATACAATGATATCAATCAGCATAAACAACTTGCAGTGTAATACACTTTATCCAAAAACTATGGAGCAATATACACACATCATGCAGTTCTAAGATAGTCTGAGAGATATCAACAATCAAAGCAATCAAAATGGAAAATAAATAACGTCTGAGTGCTAGCTCACTCAAATAACCATTGCAAAGCAATGTGTAGAACATGTAATGATTGCAATGATAAGCAGTTCTCATCAACGTTATTATTTGCCTAATTATTGTATTTCTTAGTGTTAATATTCTTTGTTTTCTTTGAGATTGTACCCATGATGTACAGTATTACACCCACCCGGCTCCTGATTGGATAACATAAAGGGGAGGCCACATGCAGAAAGTTTTTAACCACCTTATTTATTAAATGCTTAGAGAACAGACATCAGTATAAAAGTGTAAGGATAAAGAAACATATTTGTCGGTTAAAGGCCAGGTTAAGCCCAAGTTATAACAAGCTGAAACCATCCGCTCTGTACCCTCCACCGTGTAATGAACCCATCCAGTCCATTTAACTGTTAGCCAATTATCCCACTAATTACTAGGAAGCATCCACACCTGCACGCTGGCTCCATCTTGTGGAAAAGGTAACAAAACATGTGCCCATTCTAAACCCAAGCACCTTCTGTCATTCTTCTCCTAGCTGTACCGTAAGGTGCTAAAGGATAACGAGGTGCTCAGGGAGAAGCTGCAGGAGACAGAACTGCAGCTCAATCAGAACAAAGTGGACCTGGAGAGACTGAAGCAGGTGAGTGGGCTTTAGAGACCAAGGCTGGTCAGTGCGCTTTAGAGACCAAGGCTGGTCAGTGCGCTTTAGAGACCGAGGCAGGTGAGTGAGCTTTAGAGACCGAGGCAGGTGAGTGAGCTTTACTGTATATACAGAGGCAGGTGAGTGGGCTTTAGAGACCGAGGCAGGTGAGTGAGCTTTAGAGACCGAGGCTGGTCAGTGCGCTTTAGAGACCGAGGCTGGTCAGTGCGCTTTAGAGACCGAGGCAGGTGAGTGAGCTTTATATACCGAGGCAGGTGAGTGGGCTTTAGAGACCGAGGCAGGTGAGTGGGCTTTAGAGACCGAGGCAGGTGAGTGGGCTTTAGAGACNACCGAGGCAGGTGAGTGGGCTTTAGAGACCGAGGCAGGTGAGTGGGCTTTAGAGACCGAGGCAGGTGAGTGGGCTTTAGAGACTGAGCATGGATTTGTGAAGATGGTGAAGAAAAAGAGGAAAACAAGACAAGGGCTAGGGCTTCAGCACCGGGGAAAGGCATCTGCTTTGCATTGACTTCTGGAGCGATGTCTGTGTGTGCTGTTGCTTATCAGTGGCTTTGCTTTAACAGTGTCAGTGTTAAGGTCTAATAGTTGTGAACGACTCTTTCAGAATCAGGAGCAGAGTTCAGACAGACCAGCCTTGTTGGAGCTGGAGAGATATGTGAGTACTTTTATTTTCAACACCGGCAAACGAAGCAGTGAAAGGTGTGCTGATGTTTGTCATTTTACATGGTAAATGTGAAATGTCGCTTGTTGTAAAGATGTCGCTTTTCATAGGAAAAAAAAGCATTGGAGACAAAGGCAATGGAACTGGAAGATGAACTGAAGGTAACAAAGGCTGCAAATTTGTGTTCAGTGACATAAAATGCAAAATAACCTTAAATACTTTTTATAAAAACAAAAGTGTTACATGTTTCTTAAACATGTTCATTACGAAGTTTACTTTTCCTGCTTTCTAAATACCTTGTGTTTTTACTGATTTACAGATTATTATAAATTAGAGCAGTGTTGTGACATGCTGGCAGTCACATGTTTAAATCCTCAGAATGACATCTAAATTTAATTATGATTGCATTATGAGTTGTTTCTTTTCCTAACATGCTATACTAAAGGGATTGTGCATAGTCCTAGTATTAAAACATGACCATTCTTTGCCTCAATAAATCATCTTCTCTATAAATCAATAAATATAACAATCCGGTTTAATAAGGGCAGGAGCTCAGGAAACTCGTTTAAGGATACGAAAGTGCTGTTGGACATATATGTCAACCAGTGAAATGTGAATTTCCTTTTTGTGTATGTTCTCTCTCTCTAAGATTCTGGCTGACCTCAGAGCTGACAATCAGCGGTTAAAAGATGAAAATGCCGCCCTCATCCGTGTTATCAGCAAGCTTTCCAAATGATTCATAAGTACGTGCTTAGATTGAAAACAAATGAGCTCGCCCATTCCTCAGACCACGGGTAAAGGTAAACAGTGACATTCACAGCGCAGGTTAAAACTGGTTGGTTGCTTAAGTTAACATGAGTGATTGTATCCGAGTGTGTGTTGTTTTTTGTTTCTTGAATGACCAGTTTTGTTCTCTTACTGAAAAAGATAAAACTAATGTACTTGAATTTATCACAACTGCACTTAGCTATTCTTGGTTAAATGGACTGAAAAGATATGACTGCATATGCTGTTTTGCTGTTTTATAATTTACAGGAAATAGTCTCAAAGTTGTTGTTCTCTGACTTTTTTTACGATGTTCCTTGTTTCAGAAAGCCAGCATGAAATTGCCAATGTACTACATTGTTAAGTAGTATAGTTAACATGATTATTATTATTATTATTATTATTATTATTATTATTATTATTATAGAAACTATTTTAATTCAACATAGAATATTTCACGGCATAAGGAGCAAAGCAAAATGTGACCATTATCCTCCTTTAAATAGAGAAATGTTTGTTAGAAACGGTATAAATTAATAGGAATGTGATACTTTAAGTTGCACAGTAAGAGCTTATTCATGAGTTCTTTTTTTAACTGTACGTTTTTTCTGAAATGTTTGCGTTGGATCAGAAATTGCAGTTATGCAGAGTATCTCAAGATCTTTTACAGCCAAACACCTTCACTTCTTTCTTTTTTTGTTCTCTATTGCACATAGCGGCCATTACTACAGTTTACTGTGGTCTAAAAATGTCAGGACTTTCATACTGTGAAAAACTAAAACAATAGGCAAAGGGGACACACTGTTTACTAAAGCTTCTTAGTGTATGCCATAAATATTTTAATGTGCCTTATACCTTTAAAGATATTGTAAATGCATTCTGCTGAAGTATTTTGGTTATGTAGTTGGTTATATCTTTGGGATTTGTCATTGAAAGGGAGATTATTTTGTATGTAGGAATTGATAAAATGACCTACAAATCCCAACAGAGCCTGGTGTTTTTGTACTGTCTGCTTTTTAAGTAATGTATTAAGAACAAACCTGTGGATTTTAAAATGCTACATATCTAAGTGCTTTAGGATCCGGAGGCCTGCTTAACCACAACTCCACCAGACTGGTTTCACTTTACTGCTTGACAAGTACAGCTTCTTTTTGAAATAGTTTCCTTTGGTTCAGTTACTTTACTAATCTATTTTTCTTAGTAGTTGCTGTAAAAAGTGTCTATGTATTGTGAAAAATTTAGAAAATCTCTGGAATTACTGTACAGTTATGGCCTGGACATTTGAGTCCTATTTTGAAATAATGGTTTACTGGAGTTTTGCAACAAAACACATGCAATTAAAACACGTGATTGTGAGCTTAAATAGGTTTATATAAGGACAATTGATAAATATGCATGAGTAATACAGCTGAAAAAAAGTCTTTATTTGTACTATTTTAAAAAGCCAATAGTGTATGATAATCTAAAAAAAAATCATAAAAAAGTACGTTTTGACTGGGAAAAACATAGTTTTTAGTGCCTGTATCCATAATTAGGTTTTCATGCATTTTGTCCATTTGGAATTGCTGTAAGATGGTTATTGAAAATAAGTTCTGCTAGCAGGTATCTTCTCAGCTTTTTAAATTTCCCAGCGATTTCCAGCCCCTTGCTGAGGTACTAGTGATAAAACCAAAAACTAGTGTTCCCTAGCACCAGCACAAAGCTAGCTGTTTGACAGATACTGAAAACATGCATTGATGTTGATTGTCGAGGTATGTGAGGGTTTGCTTGCTTTTTTTTTTTAAACATAAATGATCTTCCTGTATTGAGGGCTCAAGCTCATTATTTTAAAAATGTTTTACAAATTTTTCTATCTTCAGTGAAAACATCTGGGATTTAGAGTTCATTGTTGGGGTATCAAAGAAAAAAGAAAAATAGCGTCTGGCTAAAAAGGAGTCCTTATTTGAAAGTGATATCCTTAAAGATAAAAAAACTTCGTAGTATGGATTATAAATTGTGCTAAGACTATTACTTGAATTCCACTTATTTATTCATTTCATGTTTTACAGAAAAATGGTAAATGTATATGGTTTTCAAGATGTTTTTAAATAAATTATTTTCTCTAGAAAGTAATTTCCAGAACTATTAGAATCTTTGTCATAATATTTTTCTGTATTTTATGTGGCAGGTCCCGTTAGAGTGAATGAAATATAAGCCATATTTCTTAATTTGAAAAATTAACATTACCACTATAAAGAGTGTTAACTACTGCCAGTATTAAGATGTATTTAAGATTTGTTCTATAGTTCTGTATAAAACAGACCTTTTTCTCCTGTGGTTTGGGTGGCAAATTGTACAAATGCAGGCAAATTTACATAAATGGAAATTAGACTTTTTAAACTGATGGTGAATGAAAACAGACTCGCAGGCTTTACCATTCCGTAACATAATGCTCACTTAATGTTATTTTTATGATTTAATGCCAATACTTAAATATAACTAAGGATACTCTAAGTGGTATTTCTGGATGTGGAGTTACTTTAGTATTACTTTAGTGTGTAATAGTGAATAACACGCTTCTTTGCCATTATTTCAGAAAAGATCTGCAGTTGTCCCTTACAGTGCAGTTACATATTGTACATATTGGCCCTGTATTCTATGAAATGCTAACTTTTTTTCCATCATTTTATACTTTACCTGTAATGAAATATAAGAATCATCTTTTGGCCCATTCCACATAAAGTGAAACTGTGTGAAAGTCTGCATTATGCTGATTTTTTTCCCAATTGTTCAATTAAAACTGCGTATTGTAGATCTACATTTTACAGGGTATGCCCAATCCAGCACGCTGCATTAAAGTGTGACTCATCACAAACAACCAGTACATAGACATGAAAGAATCAATGTATCTGTAACCAACCACCTTGCTCACTATAAGCGTTTGGAAGATGGAGGCATGTAGCATAATTTTTATCCGGCTAAAAAAAAAAACATATTTTGCTAGACACCTGTTTTACCAGAAAGCAACCAACGGTCATTTTTATTTCTGTTTTATCATTTCTGTGCTAAAGATAATATTTTGATATTGATTTTGCTATATTTTTATACTATATGTATTTATCTGTCATGGTAGTTTATACACTGTTAAAAATGGTATCTTTCATCTACCCAAATGCAAATAAATTGATATATGTATTCACGTATCTTTCAGTTTTATAAAATGTTACAATCTGCCTCTTTTTAAAAAGATTTCTTTTTTCTTTGCGATAACTTGTAAACCTGTTCCAAGGGCAATACTGGATGCCAAAACTCATTTAAAGGTGCCATAGGATGCATTTTTTCAATAATTGTAAGTTGTTCTCAAGGCCAATTACAACCCTACTATTTGGCCTTAGAATATGGGTAGGCTACACTGATCGTGGGGTACCACCATCCAGCAGGTTGTCCATCCTACCTGATCACTAATAATCCACAGCTCATCTCAGGCAGATAGTAATGCATCAGGTAGGGGAGAGAGTCTGCTGGATACTGGCACTCCAAGATCAGGGCTGCCTACCTCTGCCTTTCTTGGTGAGCTAATTATTATGTGATGAGCTCTGCTCTGAGTGTCTGGTTTACAGTGATGCACTGAATTGGCTTACTCAGAATCAACATCTCTACAGTCATCCGCCTCATAACATTTCAGTCAATGACAGACCACATTTACGACAGTAGTCCCATTGCATTATAATGAAGCTGAAAAATTCCTATAGTGACATTTTAGCGCAATGCTTTACTCGCGTGTTTGTGGTGATGCTGATGTAAACAAACCTACTGTGCTGCCAGTCATGTAAAAGTATAGAACAATTATGTATAGTATATAATACTTGATAATAATGATAACTATCCATCCATCCATTTCCTGAAATTACTTGTTCTGTTTAGGGTTACGGGGGGTCCAAAGCTAATCCCAGAGGCTACAGGCACATAGCAGGGAACAACCCAGGATGGAGCATCGACCCATCATATGGCACATTTATACACAATTTACTCTACCGCACACCTACAGGCAATCTGATAACTCCATGGCCTCAGCATGTTTTTGGATTGTGGGGGGAAACTGGAGTACCCGGAGGAAACCCCACGACGACACGAGGAGAACGTGCAAACTCCACACACATGAAACTCTGGAACCCATAATAACTATGTTACTGATTTATGTATTTACTATACTATATTTCTTTCTGCTTCGCCACAGTTAACTTTAATACCCCCACTTCGGCCAAGGTACAACATTAACGTAGTCATAATTTTGTTTTTTGGTATTGTAAGAAGAACATTGACAAGAGGTCTCCGTACTATCACAGATTTCATAATGTCGTTTAATACTCCCCTGCTAACTTGGGATATGTTTCCCAAAAGCATAGTTGTTAATAACGTTATCAACGTTACCAACATAGTTGGAACCATGCAACTGACAGTTGGTAAATGTACCCTTGAATAGGACTTTCCTTCTTAACCCACTAGTAATAAATAACCATACAGTACATCAAAAATCATGACAGCATCTACCAAAAAAGACATTTCCCAAAGCAAGAAACACCATTGACCTGTTTTCACACGATTCAGAATTGTTGAACTTTTTCTGAGAAACTGTAAACAAACCCTTCCATATATCACACCATGTGCTCATTTATAGAGCACTGGCATTCAATTCCGTTACCTCAAGTCAGCACAACTCAATTAATACAATTCCCCAGGTGGAAACACAAAGAGTCAAAATTGTTCACACACTAAATCAAATAGACGAAAGGGCCATGGGTCAGTTTACATGTTTTGGAACAATGGATCCACAAAGAACTGAAGGTAGAGGAAGTGGAAAAGGAAGGCCAAGGGGACAGATGGTTTCTGATGAGATTTGTGCAGCTCAAGTTGACCATGCCCTCATCCTTGGGATGCCAATGAGGGAAGCTGGGCAATAAGTGCAGCTTCACAGTTTCACGGTAACTTCTACAGTATATTCTGGACCTTCAGAAAGGCAAATAGGTAATTTGCATACTGTTATATACATCTAACTGAAAGAGAAACTTACCCTATTAGATGAGTTTCATGGACCAGAAGGTAGTGGATTCTTGAAGGCCAAGAAGTGGACTTTTTTGCATGAGCGTTGCTGGTTTTTCCCCTTTCAAATCGAAAGTCAGAAGTGAAACATACTAATTTAGGTTGATGCATGTCAAAAAACCATGCAACACAACTGGTATAAATATACTGTACGTTCTTTAGTTGGTATAACTGGTATAAATATACGTTTGTATATATATTCCAAAATTTCATTCTAAATTAATTTTAAATGTAATTATACTGGGTTTAGCGTAGATTGATCCGGAATTCCTGGAGCTGGGATACCCAATGTATCCCATTGGATTCATTGGCTTATATTTTTGATGGCAGAAAAAGCATGAAGTATTGTGACACCAATGACGGAAAACGTAGAACAACCATAAAATAAATTCTAAATAATAAAACAAAGAACAAAAGTTAAGCTGTCTTTATTATTGTTGATAATGCGAAATTTTGAACTTTACCATCAATTGTTCCTGAAGTATAATAATAATAATAATAATAATGTCAGAAAATCATATTTTGGAAATTATCACCCTGCGATTTAAGTCGGATCCATTCGAGTTGTTTGAAATTTCGCGTGTGACAAGCCGCATTTATCCTAGTGTCACTCCAGAGTTGCTGTGACATCGGAGCAGAAATCGGGCACATGTTTTCTCCAGGGTATCCGGGGTTGCTGTCGCTTTCCTTTTTTTTTTTTTTTTTTTTAATAATGTCGGGAAACGCTGCCAGTGGGGACACAAAACTGTGCTCCGTTGATTTTGAGATTTTTGGAAATGTGCAGGGTAGGTACCTCCTTTTATTATCATTATTTCATTGCTTGCTGTTGCCGCACGCAGTCAGTACTTTCTAGCCTTTTCCAAGTACGAATGCCTAATTATAGCTACGGTGACCAGCAGTGCCAGCTTGTATATATTTCGGACTATTAGAAACAGAGTATGCACGTATAATCAAAGTTATAGTTCCCGAATTTATTACTATGAGTTTATCTGTTTTATTTAATATAAACCTAACAGATTAACATTCTTTTCGTGATGAATTTCTTGCAATAAACAATTCTGGCTGGGCTACTGCACCTTAACCTGTGAACTGGTTGCAGTTTATATGTGTTCATGCAGTTTCCCATTTAACTTGCACACAGTAAACATCTCTTCACCTCTTTTGTAGGTGTCTGCTTCAGAATGGTAAGAACATCATGAATTTTGATTAAACTTTTAATAGATTTATTATATTATTTATTATTGATTCGATCATTTGCTGGCTACGAAAACCATATATAGAATAAAAATAGCTTACACATGCGTAAAAGCCGAAGTGAAAACAAAATTATATAAAGAATGTATAATATTATATCGTTCAAATTTACGCAATCATGCTTAAATACAAACTGCAATAAAACACAATTCATATAGCCGTCAAGAAAATTACGCCTTATCTTGCGCTTCCCTAAGCTGAAATGAGACTGTTAGCAAACTTAACATCATATAGAAGTACGCTACCATGTAGTTCAAAGTTATTTTGCATCCATCCATCCATTTTCCTTATCCACGCATGGCGGCGTGGTCCGGAGCCTTTATCCTGTAAGCTACATCAATGAACAATAAAACATTAACTGGAACATGGAACACTCGTTTATTAAATATTTCGCTTAATAATCTTTCCATTAACAATCTGTGTACACCCATATATTACCCCGGTACAGAAACTTGTTTTTTAAACAATAGAATCACTTTTGCTAACATGGAAAACAAGAGAAAAACTGAAAACAACCAAACAAAATATACTCGGTGACAAAAAAAGTTAAGCACCCAGAAGTAATGGTGCGATTTGGATGTAATTTGGTACAAGTGCAGACCAGCGTTGGGTATGTAAATGATTTGATTTGCAAGGAGCTGGCAGGTCTAGTCACCAGACACAGAGGATGCCTCCTAGGTGCATTAGACAGCATTACCAGCACTTGACGGAGTTTGATAGGGGTCACATTGTGGGGGGCATGCAGATGTCACAGTCGCCTGATGTTGGAACCAATGGGCATGTGAGGGCACCCGCACACATGGTGAAGGTTCCGGTCGCCCAAGGAAGACCACTCCAAGGGAGTCGTATTGTGCAGCAAGCATCACAGAACCCCATGACATCTGTGTCTGCCATCCGGACACAGGTATTGGACTCTCTACAACACCCCATGTCACCCACACCATGTCGTGACGACTGGCATCAGTCAGACTATGGGTTCACTGTCCCCTGCGTACGCTGCCATTAACACCAGCGCAGAGATAACTGCGTTTGAAGTGGCGTCCTACCATGTTCAGCGATGAATCTCGGTTTTGCATTACCACGGATGTCCGTCGTGTGCGCATGTGGCAGCACCGAAGGGAGAGGATCAATCCTGCCAATGTTGTGGAGAGACACACCAGTGTTACTTCTGGCATCATGGTGTGGGAGGCCATAGGGCATGACTTCTGGTCATCTCTGGGACCCTGATGACACAGCGCTACGTCAGTGCCATCCTGCATCCACATGTCTTACCCCTCCTGAGACTGCACCCTGGTACAGTCTTTCAACAAGACAACGCCTGTCCACACACGGCACATGTGTCTATGGACTGCCTGCGTCATGTTGAGGTCCTCCCATGGCCAGCTAGGTACCCCAATCTTTCCCCAATAGAACATGTGTGGGATCTGCTCGGACGTCAACTGAGACCCAGTGCCAATCTGCAGGGTCTCGAGGGGCAGTTACAATAGCTGTGGGCTGACTTGCACCAGGAGAGGATGCAATGGCTGTACGGTATGACTCACTTCCGCAATGTTTCACGCATGCATCCGAGCTCAGGGGGGTGCCACACCCTACTGACATGGGGCCAGCAGTGTGCCCATACTGTACGTTTGATCTGATATTATAATCACTGCGATAGTTACATGACCTTTCACTATGTGCAGATTCATTTGATTTCCACCACTCTGTCTGGGTGCTTAACATCTTTAATTGTCACTGAGTGTATATGAACGTACATGCATATAAGCATAGGGCGTCATACACAAAGCCTTGCAAGGATACAAAGTCATGCAAGGAAACCATGCATTTAGCTACTCTGCACTCTCTGTCAGCCCCTGAATGGAAAGCCATGGAAGATTATATTGGGGAGGCAGTGGGTACTGCCATAATTTGACCCTAATCTTCTCTGGCAGGGGTACACTTCTTTTTTTGTTGAAAAGACGCATAGCTCCCTCCGCCCCTGCATCAATTACAGGGGCTTGAATGAAATTACCATAAACAACCATTATTCCTTGCCCCTATTAGCTTCTGTGTTCAACCTGCTTCAGGGAGCCCAGTGTTTTACAAAGTTGGATCTATGCAATGCTTACTATTTGGTTAGAATACGAGAGGGAGATGAGTGGAAGATGGCATTCAACCCCCCCACCAGTCACTATGAGTACCTAGTGATGCCTTTTTGTCTGACTATGGCCCTGTTGTATTTCAGAACATGATAAATGATGTATTCTGGGACATGCTCAGTAAATTTGCTTTTGACTATCTCCAGATATCCTGATTCTTTTTCTTGTGATGAGTAGGATCATGTTCAGCATGTCTGTGAGGTCCAGCAGCAGCTCTACCAGAAAAATGTAATTGTCAAGGTAGAAAATTCCAGATTCCACCTTTTTGGGTTTCGTCCTATCCACAGACTCAATCCAAGGTCAAGGTGGTGTTGGACTGGCCACAACCTCGCACCGGAATGGGTCTTCAGTGATTCTTTGGGTCGACAAATTTCTACAGACACTTCATTTGGGGGTAGAGCTCAGTTGCCACTCTTCTTACTGCACTCACATCCTTGAAGATACCTTTTCAGTGGACCGAAATGGCACAGAGGGCTTTTCTCACTCTTGGAATTGCTTTACGTCTGTCCCCATCTTGCAGTTACTGGATCCCTCGAGGCAGTTTGTTGTGGAGGTGGATGTCTGGATGTCTGGGACTGGTGTTGGGGCCATTTTCTCCCACTGCTCTCCCCTAAATAGCATATTACACCCCATGCCTGTAAGCTTACCTTGGCCAAGAGACATTATGATATTGGGAATCATGATTTGCTGGCAGTCGAATTGGAGGAATGACCGAATTGGTTAGATGGCACTGATTCTGACTCACCATGAAAACCTGGAGTACCTTTGGGCCGCTAAACAGAAAAATGCTCGGCGTGCTTGGTGGTCTTTGTTGTTTGTGTCAGACAGGGGCCCCCAGTTTGTGTCTCGTTTTTGTCAGCAATTCTGCAAGCTGATTGGTACCTCTGGCATTTTCGTATCAGGGTGTCAACCACAGTCTAATCAGCAGATGGAACACGTTAACCAAGACCTTGAAAGAATGCTGCGCTTGCTGTCCTCCCACTTTCTGAGTATCTGGAGTTCTTGCCTAACTTGGGTTAAGTATAGCCACAACTCCCTGCCAGTGTCTGTTACAGGTGTGTCAACCACTGTTCCTGGTCCTGAAAGAAGTTATGTCGTATTTGGTCATCAGTTTCTGCAGTGCTGCTGATGGACCCAGAGGTTGGCCTAAGTCTCCATGTGAGACTTAGTGTGAGAATATATGGAGAGGCATCCCAACAGGTCCCATTCCCAGGCACCATTCTTCTAAGTGGGACAGAAGTTTTGGCTGTGTGAACGAGAGCTGTCTTTATGCGTCACGTGGCGTAAGTTGGTGCCCTGTTTTGTGAGCCAATTTCCTATCTCCAAGGTGATTGGTCAGAAGTTCACCTGAAGTTACCTCCATCCATGCATTGTATTCATCCAATATTTTATGTCTCCCTACTGCGTGCCATCAGCCCTCTCGTCTCCTTAGCACTGCTGTCTCCACCATCCCAACTGATGGAGGTGATGTGTATACTGTCTGCCTATTGAATGTCTGCCATCGGACCCAGGGCTCCAGTACTTTATGAATTAGGAGGGTTACGGTCTGGAGGCGTGATCCTGGATCCCAGCGTAGCAGATCATGGACCTGTCCTTCATTGACAGCTTCCACCGGAGCCACCCTGGGGATCCAGGTTGCCCTCCTTGATAGGAGTCATGGACTAGCCAAGAGGAGACCACTGAATTCACTCTCTTCACACACACCCTCCACCCAGCCATGCCCCCCCGGGAATCCCCATCTGCAGCACCCACTTAATCAGGAAAGCCCATTTTGGCCCATGTTATAATATCACTGATGCATCCTACTTGGGGCCACACTGTTACCCATTACCCATAGTGTTTTAGCATGTTAGGCATGTTTGCCAGACACGAGATCTTATCATTACCAAGAGTTTCCTGTATTATTTTGTTCTGCTTACCTGGTTACTTCTGATTCTGTTTTTTGCCCCAAGACTTTTTGGCTTTTGTCCTCTGATCTCCTGACTCTCACCTGTCATCCCTACCGACACCTTGCATTTCGATTTGAATTCTCTTTGTTCTCTCTGACTTGCACTGTATGACTAAAAACTATTCTCTAGAAATAAAAGCTCCCTTCTCCAGAACCAATCTGTATCAGTGTCCTCCTTTACAATGCAAACCCTCAGAATATGTTGGTGAAACATAAGAATCAAATAAGCATCAGTGGCTCTAAACCAGGTTTTTATGAATCAGCACAGAACAGCTTTGTTTATACACTGCCAGGCCAAAAAAAAAGTCGCCATTTGAATTTTTTGTTGGGCCGCCTTTAGCTTTGATTATGGCGCATATTTGTCATTGCATTGTTTCCACAGGCTTAAGCAACATCTCATCCTTTATTTTCATCCAGATTTGCATTCATTTCTCACCGAGATCCTGTATTGACAAGTGAGTTGAACCTCCATAAAGCCTCCTTCATCACATCCCAGAGACCTTCAATGAGGTTAAGGTCACAACTCTGTGGTGACCAAGTCACGCATGAAAATGATTCCTCATGCTCCTTGAACCACTCTTTGACAATTTGAACCCATTGAATCTTGGCATTCTTGTCCTGGAATATGCCCATGCCAACAGGGAAGAAAAAAATCCATTGATGATGGATGGAGGTGTAACCTGGCCATTCAGTAGATTCAGGTACTCAACTGACTTTACTTTATTGCTGCATAACGTTGCAGGACTGTAATAATGATCTAGTCATTGGCTTTTAAGTATCTGCTGATATAGATTCAAATGGTGACCTTTTTTTTGGCCGGGCAGTGTATAATACAAGAGAATATTTATACAGTGTCTGATTTATTTTAATTACAGTATTTGTGATATTAATATACCAAGCATACTCTGCAGTGAAGTACACCATAATCAGTCAAGTCTTGTCATGGTAGATATGCAGATGATACTGTGATGACAGTCCTGCACGTCAGGTAACGCTGTGTGTCTGGCTTGTATTAACAAAGTACACTGAAGACCATGGAAAGAAGCTGGGTCTGAATGGCTGGGTGAAGAACACCCGGCAAGGCACAGTGGTGGGGCAGGTGCAGGGGCCCTCGGAGAAAGTCAGCGAGATGTAAGTATGCAGGCACCTGACTGTCCTGTGCCAATAGCAGTGACACTACTGGACAGACACAAGCTACTCTTCTGTGTCGTGTGCTTGGTTGAAATTTGCACCTTTGGGATGAATTAGAGCAGAGACTGGATTTTCCTTTGAACGACTCCAGATGTAGCATAATTTTTACTTGTGGCCTCTGCTGGTGGCCTTTGCTCGTAACCTCTGCTCATGGCCTCTGCTGGTGGCCTTTGCTCGTAACCTCTGCTGGTGGCCTCTGCTTGTGGCCTTTGCCCATGGCCTCTGCTGGTGGCCTTTGCTTGTGGCCTCTGCTTGTGGCCTCTGCTTGTGGCCTCTGCTTGTGGCCTCGCCTTTAGGCCTCACATTAGTACTGCATGTTTTCACACTAACTGATACTGTAGCAGATCACGCTGCTTTTTGAGAAGAGCAGCAGCTATAATGTTAGTATGCTGGGGGGGGGGGGTTTCTCCCTACTTGGGAGCTTTTGGTTCCTCTCCTCCATCGTCATCTGGCTTTCTTTCTTTCTTTATGTTTTCCTCCCTTTTCCCAGTTTTTCAATAATTTTGTATAAATGATGCGGGAATGTATCACAATGCACCAGTGTAAAGCACCTTGGGGTGACTGTCATGAAAGGAGCTATATAAAAGTAAATTGAATTGGATTGAATTAAATTGAATTGAACAACATCTTGCTACTTCACGTTCTGCCACTTTTAACGGGTTTGAGCAACACAGATTCCATCCATCCATTTATCTCTGTCAGAGAAAGTCTGCTGAGTGTGATGCATGTAAACAGGCCTTGGAATATACTGCAATTTGATAGAAATGGTTGGAAACTCATCATCTCAAGCAGATGAAGATAAGGAATGTGCCAGAAGCGGGTAGATTACAGCAACAACAGGCTCATCAAATACTCTTTAAACACAAGGGCACGTGTGCAGTAAGGTGGGTTATTATTTAAACCTCATTTATCTTAAAATTTATATACAAACCATTGCCTGGATTGTGTGATACATCACCTTCAAATTTAGTATATGAAGTATTAATTAAAATGTACCTTGAAACATTTATGGTTGTCACCAGAATTAAATTTGTATACTGGATATTCACACATACCTATTTAGCTCTTACCAGAGGTGGCAATTTTTATTTTATATATTTGGAAATTCAGCTTAGAGAAATTCAGGATTCCGGTAACTAACTAAAAGGCTCAAGTGCTCGAAGTGTGTATATTAAGACCAACAATCCCTGCAGTGAGTCACTGCTTCACCTGCTGATGCTATTAACTACTGCAGTAAACCAGGTCAATGTTTTTAATTTGCCAAATTTTATACCTGTTTTAAATGTTTAAAATCTTCTGCCTATTCATCCATCGTATATCATACACCATATTGCCAAAAGTATCGGGACACCCCTCCAAATCATTGAATTCAGGTGTTCCAATCACTTTCATAGCCACAGGTGTATAAAATCAAGCACCTAGGCATGCAGACTGCTTCTACAAACATTTCTGAAAGAATGGGTCACTCTCAGGAGCTCAGTGAATTCAAGCGTGGTACCGTGATAGGATGCCACCTGTGCAATTAGTGCATTTGTAAAATTTCCTCGCAACTAAATATTCTACGGTCAACTGTTAGTGGTATTATAACAAAAGGGAAGCAACAGAGAATAACAGCAACTCAGCCTCAGGCCATGTAAAATCACAGAGCGGGGACAACGCTTGCTGAGGCGAACAGTGTGCAGAAGTCGCCAACTGTCTGCAGATTCAGTAGCTACAGACCTCCAAACTTCGTGTAACCTTCAGATTAGCTCATGAACAGTGCGTAGAGAACTTCATGGAATGGGTTTCCATGGCCGACCAGCTGCATGCAAGCTTTACATCACCAAGTGCAATGCAAAGCATCGGATGCAGTTGTGTAAAGCACACCGCCACTGGATTATAGAGCGGTGGAGACGTGTTCTTTGGAGTGATAAATCATGCTTCTCTGTCTGGCAATCCGATAGACGAGTGTGGGTTTGGTGGCTGCTAGGAGAACAGTACATGCCTGACTGCATTGTGCCAAGTGTAAAGTTTTGTGGAGGGGGGATTATGGTGTGGGGTTGTTTTTCAGGGGTTGGGCTTTGGCCCCTTAGTTCCAGTGAAAGGAACTCAATGCTGCAGCATTCAAAACCATTTTGGACAATTTCATGCTCCCAACTTTGTGGGAACAGTTTGGGGATGGCCCCTTCCTGTTCCAACATGGCTGCGCACCAGTGCACAAAGCAAGGTCCATAAAGATATATAGATGAGCGAGTTTGGTGTGGAGGAACTTGACTGGCCTGCACAGAGCCCTGACCTCAACCTGATACAACACCTTTGGGATGAATTAGAGCGGAGACTGCGAGCCAGGCCTTCTCATCCAACATCAGTGCCTGACCTCACAAATGCTCTCTGGGAAGAATGGGCAAAAATTCCCATAAACACACTCCTAAACCTGGTGGACAGCCTTCCCAGAAGAGTTGAAGCTCTTATAGCTGTAAAGGGTGGGCCAACTCCATATTAAAGCCTATGTATTAAGAATGGGATGTTAAAGTTCATGTGTCTGTAAAGGCAGGTGGCCCAATACTTTTGCCGATATAGTGTATATTGCTTACCCACCCCCCTCAGTAGATTTCACCAATGGGGGTCATTATTTCTTTACTTTAGTGCTCCATTTCCCCATAAAATACCCCTTGTGATTACCCTTGAATAGACTCAGAACATGAAAACAAAGTGAATGGATTGCAGACTGAAATTTAATTTTAATAAATAACTCATACCTTGTCGTAGGGCTTGACAGCCAACAGTGTGGTTTGTTGCTACATTTTTTCTCTGACTGCCTCGCTGCTCATTCCTGGAAATGAGTTTGACATTAGAGTTGTCACCCGTCCTGTTATGAAAAATAAAATGCTGTATCCCATTTCTAATCATCACAGGACATGATTTGTCCCCTATCTCTTCATGTTGAAAGTGGAAACCCTAACTTGCATTCTGTATATCCCTCCAAATGGTAGTTTTTCAGGTGGTGAAATAAGTTCACATTATTTCCCTATTTCGTTTTAGTAGGCACAGGTTGTTGGCCTTTGGTCTTTTTACATTGTTTACCCACATTATCGACCTTTTTAAAAATATGTAGTGGCTGTTGAGTTGTCCTTGAATATCAAATGAGTTCTTTATCACATTTCCCCAGTAGATGTCACTGTAAGCACTATATTAATCCCCATCTTATTGAAGGGTGGTGTACTGGAGGCTTGATGTCTGTCTTCATCCTAAGCTGTTTGGTATAAACCATGCAGGGTGTGGGCAGCCCAGTGTGTAAGGATGACATATATTGTGTTTCTTCCTTTTTGTTTTGCATTCATATCTCTGCTTGACAGGAAACACAAGCCAATCTAATAAAAGTATAATAGTTTGTCGTGCCGTTTCCAGGAACCCTCAGTGATAGGGTGTGGGGGGAGGTGACGTCATCCAGGGCAGAGGACATAGGTGACATCACTGTCTCTGTGGATTAGCAGAGACGTGGGGCTGTAGAGAGCTGGGCTAGATCCTCTTTCACAGGCTCTTTCTTGCTAGTCTGTATGCATCAATCCCAACATATCACCTTATTACACATGCATCCTTACTAAAACCCCTGTGACTGTCTGTGTATCTATTCCCATAGTAACAACACATATTTTTTTATTGTTTTCAAAACGACAGCTACACAAAAATGTCCATCCTGCTTATTGGAACAGTAATCCAGTGTAACAGCAAATATTCTACCGAGCGTTCCTTCTCAGAGCTCTGTTACGCAAGCATCTGCATAGCTATAATCTTTACTGGCATTTTACTAACCTCATTACTACACAAGAGCTCTGCTTGGTAATTGGGTTCCTGGTGGAGAAGCTGGAAACACTGGGATGCCTGTATGAAGCTGAGCCGCTCTAATGGCCCGACCATTAGCCGCTCTTCATTCAAAAAGCATAAATGGGCTATTTTGTCGAAGGGGCTGAAGGTTTCCAGGCCCGACGATAAATGATTCATGGTTCTGAAAGGAAGAGAAGAGGCATTGTGTCTCTGCCGGATGGAAAGTACAGTGAGCAGCATGCACCCCCCTCCTCAGCAAGAAGCTGGCATCTGCCAAGGGGTCTGCAGCCGGCTCTCAGCTGGGACACTGCTTTCCTCCATGACCTCTGTCATAAATACAGCACTTTGCATTAATTAGTCAGTAAATACATTTAAAATGGCAATGATAACGTTTTCCACCTCGCAAACGTGGAAACAGTGCTGGCTTAATGGATCTCAGCCGGTGTTTGGATTATGGTCTTGAACAGGGAATTTCAGTTGGCGAGGGGAAATAAGGAAATCATTGATAAATCATTGTTAGCTAACTTAGGGTAGCTACAATTCCCACTCTCTTGAACAAGTTTTGTAATGTTTTTGTTTTTATGGAAAGATTACCTGTCACATACCATCTATAGAGTGCAAAATCCCCCCAAAAAAACCCAAGATTTTGCTCTTGAGCATATATGACCCTTCAAGGGCGTAACTTTGGCTGGAACACTGGTGGGGTTGAGGTCTCCACCCATTACGGGAAAAAAATATTATTGGGGGGGTTGTATTAGCTGGTTTTGATTTATCGGGGGGGCTACAACCCTCCCATCCCCCCTCATAATTTACGCCCATGTGATCGTTCACTGATCATCCCTGTGCAGTCAGATGAGTCAAAATGTAAATGGTTTTTTAAAATGTGTGTTGATCCATTTTCCTGGACATGCATTCTTTTGCTTTCAGTTAAATTCCTAGTGAAATCCAAGAAATGTAGTAAATCTCCCTGTTTACACACACATTTAACCAACAGCTTTGTGGATGTTTTAGTGCTTTTATAAGTTGCCCCTACCAAAGATTTAACCTAGAAAATGTAAATAATCCTCTGAAGATAAAATGGAACTCTCATATATTATTATTAATGTAGGATGAGAGTAGTTTCTGCAGCTAACAGA